TCTGGGTACCAATTTGTCCCCAAAATATGGTTACAGTAAGTAGGTACACACACACACACACACACGCAGGTTTTCCTATCATTATGGTGACATTCCATAGGAGTAATGGGTTTTATACTGTCTCCCCCTAAACTAACCCTACTCCTAAACCTACCCTTACAAAAATGTATTTTTTTCTCATTGGACCCTTAAAAAGGACAATTGCCATCTTTGTGGGATTTGTGACATTTTGTCCCCATAAAATAGGGTTTACCTGAACCACACACACACCCTTACAAAATAGTGGTTATCTTAGATATATCACTTTTAGTGTCAAAATAATTCAGTGCATTTGGTTATCCCTAAATTGCAATCACGTTCTATAGAAACTAAATATCTATTGAATCTATATCTATAGATGCACCATATGATTCACTGAATAACCATTAAGATGAGTTAGTTTAAATAATAGACAGATGTATTAAACTGAATGAGAAGTCATGCTAATGAAAAGTTTGATAGTAATAGCTTTATGAAAGGCAGTTCATGAGAATGAAACATTTATATAGATGAAACACTTATTTTGTGTAGTGAAAAGGATATTTTGTGATTGTGTGTATTGTACTAACACAATTGAAAATATGCTGAAATGATTGAAAAAAGTGCACTTTTGATGATCTGTTGTTATATTACTACTAAGAGTTTTGAACATTTACCAATTGCTTGTGAAAATTGCGCCAAAGCAATTCAAAAAAACTGTAAGAGATTGGTGAACATTTTAATTGTACAAATCTAAGTACACATTTCTTTCCATTATATTTCAAGGTACAGATTTAGTATTTGTGAGACAATTTTGTGTTTCTCGTCTTTCAGCATCTGCGCTTCACTATTTCTTAATAGATCATCTGAGGGATTCGACTGAGTCAAGATGCTGCTGATCATTGAAGCTCTTCTTCTCATTTTAGCTGCTCTAGGACAGGTAAGCTTGTGTTCTAGTATGAATATTACAAACATGAATACTGACGATTGATCATTATGATTCCTGTTGCTGCAGGATCACAGAGCTGCTGCTGCAAGAAATATATTTCCACTGGATATGGCACTGAATTCTGTTGATGACAATTATGACGGCTGTACAAAGGAAATGGCGAATATGGTGAAGACCAAATATCTCGAAAAGGAAATGCAATCTAATTTTGCAAATGCTTGGAAACAAGCTGAAAAGAATTACAAGCCACCCGGAGATAACTTGACAAAGAATCATTCGATCGCTATCTATGTGTACACTAACTCTAAATTTGAGATTTATAAGGATTTCAATAATGCTGTTCGTAATGAAAAGAAAAAAATACCAAAACAAGAAATTCACATGGTATTCACTTCACTTTTTGTTAACAGATGCGATACAGATTCTGAAGAAAACACAAAAAGGATGCATGTTAACTTATCGTGGTACAAATGTTAATTTTAATGAGAGTGTTCTAAACAAAGAGGTTCGTTTTGGCTCATTTGCTTCTTCCTCTTTTAATCACACCAAAACAAATTTTTTTGGAAAAAAATCTTGTTTTGTAATCTACACTTCTGAAGGTGCAAATTTGGCAAAATATTCTAAGCATGACAAGGAGGAAGAGGTGCTGATTCCTCCTTATGAGACGTTTAAAGTCACTGCTGTCAAGACAAGAAAACACCAGAAAGATCTCCGGTGTGACACTGTGTTCACTTTGAAAAGCTCTGGAAACAGAAGTGACCTGAACTGTGCTCTATTCAAGAAACCAACCAAGACCATATCAAAATACTAAGACTGGCAATGAAAGTAGGCCTACTGAACAAAGAGCTTTGAATTTATGAATTTATAGTACACCAATTCCAACATTTGTCCCTCTTGGTTTAGCTCAACAATTCTTTGTCAAAAAAACAAAAACAAAAAACAATTTGAACAGAAAACATGATTTGTTTGCATAATTTCAACAATAAAAAAAATAAAGTTATTTTCAAGTGACCCAATTCAGTGGCCTCAGAGTCATTTTATATGTGTTTGTAATTTATTACTTCATTTACACTTAAATCTTTTTTTGTATCATGTCACTGAACAATTTTAGTGCTTGCTATTTTGCTAAATGCCAGCAATAGCACACTAACTGCTAAAAGTATTTGATTCATTTGGAATGTTATGTTTTTTCAATGGATTTTTTAAAATATAAATTTTACTTTAGTCATGGTTGAGTCTGAGAAGAGTTTCTGTCATGTTGGAGTTTTTGTGTTTTTCATTGTGCAGAAGCTGGTTTTGTTGTGGGCGGCTCTATTACAGTAACTCAGACTTGTGCAATGATGAGTCTCTTCATAAGTGTTCATCCCATTACACAAAAAAATGTTGCTATCTAGCAGATAAATGGAAAATATTAATTTCAGTAGTAAAAAAAAAAAACTGAGAAATCCAATTAATTAGGTTTGTTCAATAAGATATTTGTTTGAAATAAAAAGTGTTTCTAGACATCATAAAACAAACTTTAATTTGATAGAAAAGCTTTCCTCAATTTAATTAAGTTAAATGAACATTTTTGAGCATATGCATGTGAAATATACCTAAGGTTTTATACTTGAGCCTATTACTCATCTTAGACAGTAACAGAAAGTTTGTTCTGCTGGAAACCACACAGAAGTGTTGCATCAGATGAGCTTGATGCATCAGGATTACTTCAGCACTATTTGATCTCACAGTGCCTGAAATACATTTCTAAATGTGAAAATTTAGCTTGTGTTACCCCAAATCTGAAAATATGAGTCTGAACTAGAAGGTTCATCTGGGCTAAATTGAAATTCTTCTCTCTCGATCATAAAGCAGAAATTGACACTAATGGCTAATAGTTAGTGTACACTTTACTGCCAGTTGAATCACCTCCTTGACAATTTTTTTTTCATTTAGATGTGTCGATATATATTGAATGGTCTTTCAGATATGGAGTAAAAGCCTTAGTTGTGTAAAGGAATTTTAGTGTCTATAAAAACATACTGATACGTGTCTTAACTGTTCTGTCTGTGAACTTGTATTAAATATGAGTTGGTTAATTCATAAATGTTAAATTTTTTATGTTTATTTCTTTTGAATTAGAAAGTGGTTTAGGGGTTGGAGAAGGGATGGGACATCCTGCAGACATATACATTTTCATCAACAATGTCCATCATGTACCATTATTACACATTTTGAGGAGATCATTTTGAAAATAATCTAGCATTCAAGTTAGACAGACAGGAACTCAAGAGTTTGTCCGGTGTGAAACCACACAAACACCAGATCTTCGCAAGTGCTAATGATCTAAACCATTTAGATGAGCTAGATGCATCACAATCGCACTATTATTTCTTAGCACACACACACATTATCAGGTATATAAAACAGCCACTTTCCTCATCTCCTGGTTTGAAGAGTTGTTGTTGATCTTCTCCTCTCGCTGTTGCTGCTGAACTCCTGAAAAATAACAAAAAGGAAAACATAATCTGACAACAAGAGAGAACAATATTCTCAGGTAAGTTTGGTGTTCACATAAAAGGTCAATGTTCATATTGCTTTCTATTATACTTAGTGTCACTGGTTTAGTATTTGAGAAAAAGCTTTTGTGTTTCTGGTTGTCTTTCAGCATTTGCTCTTCTCTAGATCTACTAGATCATCTGAGGGATTCGACTGAGTCAAGATGCTGCTGATCATTGAAGCTCTTCTTCTCATTTTAGCTGCTCTAGGACAGGTAAGCTTGTGTTCTAGTATGAATATTACAGACATGAATACTGATGATTGATCATTATGATTGCAGCAGGATCACAGAGCTGCTGCTGCTGTTGAAAAGAAATGTCCACTGGATATGGCACCGAATTCAGTTGATGACCAATATGATGGCTGTAGAGAGAAAATGGCAAATCTGGTGAAGACAAAATATCTAAAGAAGGAAATCAAAAACTCAACTGATTTTAAAATTGCTTGGAAAAAAGGGGAAGACTTTGTCAAGACCCAAAATGATAACCTGACAAAGAATCATTTAATTGCTATTTATGTGTACAGTGATAGTAATGTATATAAGCTTTTTAATCCTGAAAAAAAGTACAAACAAATGAGATACAAATGGTATTCACTTCACTTTCTGTTAACAGAAGCGATACAGATTCTGAAGAAAACACAAAAGAAATGTTATTCAACTTTTCGTGGTACCAAAGCTGAATTTAATAAGCGTGTTCTGAACAAAGAGGTTCGATTTGGCTCATTTGCTTCATCCTCTCTTGATCGTAAAAAAGCACAGGTTTTTGGAAATGTGTCTTGTTTTGAAATCTACACTTGTACAGGTGCTGATGTGTCAAAATACTCTAAGCTTCCTCATGAGAAAGAGGTGCTGATTCCTCCATATGAGAAGTTTAAAGTCACTGCTGTCAAGACAAGAAAACAGCAGAAAGATCTCTGGTGTGACACTGTGTTCACTTTGAAAAGCTCCGGAAAGAGAAGTTACCTGAACTGTGCTCTATTCAAGAAACCACCCAAGACCATAATGAAGAAATATGTTGTGTGCTGAACAAAATGCTTGAATTCACATGATAAAATCATGTACATCAGTTCCATATATAAAGAATGTTTTTCTCTCAGTTAAGTTCGATAAGTCTTTATCAGAAAACACAATTTGTTTACAGAATTTCAACATAAAGAAATAGTTATTTTTAAGTGACTCAATTCAGTGGCCTTTAAGTGATTTTATGTCTAAAACATTTCTTTATTTATACTTACACATTTTTGCTGAACAATTTTAGTGCTTGTTATCTAGATAACTGCCAGCAATATCATAGCCAAAATATCATATAGCCTTGGTTCATTATTTCCCTGAGCATCAGCATCTGACAACAAATCATCTTATAAATGACCCTTACCAAAAAGTAGTACTTCAAGTTTATTTTATTAAGTATACTTAAGTAAAGTCCAAGTATATTTTTAAGTATACTTTATGTAGTATACAAATATCAGTGTATATAAGTAGTATACTTGTAAGTGTACTATTTCAATACTCCTTGGGACTAAATGTCTGAGAAGTACATCAAATTAGACTGAAAGTATACTTTCCTATTTTTTAGTTTAAAAGAAGTATACTAATAGCACACTTGAATAAACTTATTTTTCGTAAGGGGAGTCCTACTCAAATTAGACAGACAGGAATTCAAGAGTTTTTCCTACTTGAAACCACACAGACCAGACCTTCACAAGAGCTGCATTCTCAGATGAGATGAGAAGATTCACTCTTTCATCCTTTGCCCAGTCCAGACGTGTCTCTGGTACAAGTAATAGTAGGCGAGTCTTTACTCTTTTACTCATTCGTGTAGTAAATGTAAATGTAGTAATGCAAACAAGAACAAGTTCTTAATAAACCGAAATATATCCAAATACTTGGTATTTAAAATATGACCAAAATGTCGCAATCCACAACTTCCCACTTTAATAAGTCCATAAACCAGATCGTTTTGTGAGCCATGCACAAACACAAGCTCAAAGACGCTTAAAATTAAAGGACATGGCAACACAGCACCAGAAGCGCTCTACAGAGCACGTACAAAAAAATGACACCTATGTCGACGTTGGTTTAGTTAAAATTGCAGAACATAATGAGTTGTAATATTACTTTGGTCAGTGAGTTGTTTTCCGTACCGAAACCATAATTTAGGGAATTCACTCCCTTATTTTAATGCGGTTGTCACTCCTGAAACTTCACTTGGTCAGACTTTATAGAACCATATTGTAAAATGTTATGAAATTTGTCAAAAACAATATTATAACAGCTTCAGACAATAATAGTCTGAACTTGTTAACAGATTTGTGATATAAAGCCACGTTTCTAGCATTTGTAAAACTGCATTTTCCCATCTCAAAAATATATCTAAATTACGACCTATGCTCTCAATGTCAAATGCAGAAATGTTAATTCATGCGTTCATGACCTCAAGGTTAGATTATTGTAATGCTTTATTGGGTGGTTGTTCTGCACGATTAATAAACAAACTCCAGCTGGTCCAAATTGCAGCAGCTAGAGTTCTTACTAGAACCAGGAAGTATGACCATATTAGCCCGGTTCTGTCAACACTGCACTGGCTCCCTATTAAACATCGTATAGATTTTAAAATCTTGCTTATTACTTATAAAGCCCTGAATGGTTTAGCACCTCAGTATTTGAACGAGCTCTTATTGCAATATAGTCCTCCACGTCCACTGCCTTCGCAAAACTCTAGCAATTTGATAATACCTAGAATATCAAAATCAACTGCGGGCGGAAGATCCTTTTCCTATTTAGCGCCCAAACTCTGGAATAACCTACCTAACATTGTTCGGGAGGCAGACACACTCTGTCAGTTTAAATCTAGATTAAAGACCCATCTCTTTAACCTGGCTTACACATAACACACTAATACGCCTCTAATATTCAAATCCGTTAAAGGGTAACTTCAAACCAAAGTTTGGAATATAAGTCACAGCACCTTTCAGATGATAAAAACGCGGCTTTTTCAGAAAATATGTCCATTGCTGTTACAAGATTTAAGTATAGCGACTGGTCTTGTGTCTTGTGATTACAGGACTGCAATGGAGCAGCTCTAATGTGCTATTAAATTAAAGATGAAATACCATAGAACAATAAAATGAACAGTGAAAGTTTGCTTGTACAATACAATTTTAAGGAAAAAAATTAAGTTTGAAAATAACTGAAAGAAGTATCTGTTCACTAAATGGAGCCAGGTAATATGATAATATAACTTTATTTTGGGGGGGGCAGTTCTGTACCCAATATTTAAAAAAATTACAAATGCTATGATAATGCAGGTATTGGCATCAGAAAGTACCGGAAATAAAAGTATCAGTATTGGACTCGCTCTGGAAAAAGTGGTATCGGTGCATCCCTACTTAACGTAGGAAAGATAATTTATAATAGAAATTACAGACAAGCATAATTTTAAATATTTGGAAGTCTTTATATACATTATAGAGATTATTGGCTTCAGAATTTGGACAGCACAGTGGTTCAATCGGTAACACTGTCGTCTCAAAGACAGCAAGAATGCCTCTGGTTTGAGTCCCAGCTGAGCCAGGAAGCCTTTCTGTGTGGAGTCTGCCGTAGGTTTCCTCCGGGTGCTCTGGTTTCCAGAGGAATGAGTGAGTGTGTCCCAGCACTGGGGTTGCATGAGTTAGTGGCCTCTCAGTGCTGGGTTGTGGCAGCCAGAGCATCTGGCGTAAAAGCGTGCCAAATTGGTGTATGACATCAATGTACCATTTGGGGACCTCTTGTGGCGACATTGAGGTTCGTTTGAGCTCATTTTCATTCTCCTCTCTTGATCGAAGGGTAATACAGGGTTTTAAAATCAAATCTTGTTTTGAAATTTACACTTGTGAAGGTGCTGATCTGATAAAATATTCAAAGTATCCTGAGGAGAAAGAGGTACTGATTCCATGGGCGCTGTAACGGGGGGAAGGTGAGGACGATTCCAAGGGTCAACGAGGGAGAGGGGGCCCGGCACACGATTTTTACCGAGGGGGTCCCGACATATTTCCTGCAGGAAAATACATTTGATATGACCCAACTGGCAAAATCCAACACCATCTCAGCTATTGTTTATGGAAAATGCCTTGAATAGACCTAATTGAATATGAGGACCCAAAGTTTCAGGATTTTGGCAAACAAGCATGACTGGTGCTGTGATACAGGTACATTCATCCTCATTTAAAAGCCATTTCTTTGTTGTCCAAACAGAGAAACTGGATGGTCTATAATTCAGGGCTGTTAGTCCTGTTCCTGGAGATCTTCCTGCCTGCAGAGTTCAGCTTTAACCCTGATCGAACACAGCTGTCTGTAATTATCAAATGCTCCTGAAGATCTTAATTGTAGCTGATTCAGCTGTGTTTGATCTACAGTAGGTTGGAGCTGAACTTTGCATGTACAGGATTGGACACCTTGTTTGAAACACACTTACTTGACATCAATCCCTGAGTGCACTTGTGCAGTGTGGTTACAGCACCATCTACTGGCCATTCTCTGAGATTCATTTTAACCTTTTAATCCCATAGTCATCATTCATCCTCTGTACATTCCTAGGGGCTCTTAGAAAACTCTATTTTTCACTTTTACTTTGAAGATTGGACATAGTATGTGAAGCTCAGCACTTCACATTCTAATCTCAAACATTTGTCAACATTCTCAAAAATCTAAGATTAAAAACACACACACACACGCGCGCACACACGCACACGCACACACACACACATTGGGTTTCCATGTTTTATGGGGACATTCCATAGGCCTAATGGTTTTTATACTGTACAAACTGTATGATTAAAAACACACACACACACGCGCGCACACACGCACACACACACACATTGGGTTTCCATGTTTTATGGGGACATTCCATAGGCCTAATGTTTTTTCTACTGTACAAACTGTAGATCTGCCCCTAATTGGAAACTTTCCGGCATTTTTAGATTTTCAAAAAAATTCATTCTGTATGATTTGAAGCTTGTTTCCTCAAGGGGACCAAAAATGTCTTCCTCAAGCTTTTACTTTTTTTTTTTTTTTCAGCAAATGGTCAGTACAATGAGGTGCTTCAGAGAATATTTGACCTCAAAGGGTCAAATTTAATATTATATGAGCATAGCTTTCTATGAATTTATTATGAAGTTTGCATGTTATCTCTGCACCACAATTCGGGACATAAATCACATTCTAATCACATTTTATGTGATTTTGTTATTTGCTAGTGACAAATATAAAAAATAATTTTAAAAAAATGTAACCACAAAATAAATTAATCATTTGTCAAAAATCACACCAGAATGGATAGCAATTTGTAACTTAAGTCTAAACAATAACCATTTATCATGATCCTTCTGCAGGTTCACCTGTTGTCCGTTTATATTTATTTAATTAAAATTTAATTTAATTCAGAATCTGATACGACTGATATGGAGTAAAATACTTAAACTTTAAAAAGCTAAAGCTTTTTTTTTTTTAGCCTTTCAGTTTGTCCAGTGTGAAACCACACACAGACCTTCACAAGTGCTTCAAGTTATGATGAGCTCAACAGTTTAGTTGAGCCAAATGCGTCAAGATCACACCTCAGCTGGTATACCTCAGAAAACACATGCACACACACATTAGTAGCAATATAAAAAGCAACTTCAACCTCCTCATCTCTTAAGGGTCATTGTCATCTGGCTCTGAGCGACTGACTTTTCTGTTCTTCTCTCATCATTGTTCCTGAAAACAATAAAAATAACTCAGGTAATTTTAGGTTAAAGTTACTTTTCAGATCATATAACAACATATTCCTGTTGGAGTGATAGATTTTGTATTTTGTAAATGCTGTTGTGTCTCTGGTTATCTTTCAGCAGCTGTTCTTCACTAGATCTACTAGATCATCTGAGGGATTCGACTGAATCAAGACGCTGCTGATCATTGAAGCTCTTCTTCTCATTTTAGCTGCTCTAGGACAGGTAAGCTTGTGTTCTAGTATGAATATTACAGACATGAATACTGATGATTGATCA